ACTAGTGAACATTGAACTAAGCCCTAATTGAAGGTTGGAATTCATAAGTCGTTGGATTCTGATCCAGTGTGCTTAAATGATAATGTGCTTATTTCATAGTAATGTATAGGACCTAGGTTTTGTTCTTTGGTATTGTCATGGATGTGTACTGTCAAAATAAAGCTCTAGAAGAGACTGTACCGATAGCTGCTACCTTTAATCGGTGATCGAGGTATACTGGTTAGAAAATTAATGTTCCTGCAGGTTCTACCAAAGCAGTTGCCGCCATAATGCAAGTTGTTTACACTTTTGGAGGTCTGTGGAGTTTATGAAATCGCCATTTTATCCTATATTCTGCAGTCGTCTCTACCTGGTTCCACAGTAGCCCATAAATTCTCATATTTCCGTAACACGATCTCCAGCATGTCATCTTTGAAAGACGTATTCATTGTTTCTCATTCGGCAACCATTCTAGCGATGGCCTGCATCGTGCGCGATATCATTCGACGGTCTCCTCAGCATCAACCCAATCCAACTGCATTTTCTCATACATATTTGCTAAGTAACAGGTTCTTGGTTAATTAGTTCACCATAGTTTCTTGTTGCTAATTCTTTCTCACTGGCTATTCGATCTTCAATATGGAGCCAGGGAAGTCATCTGGTGATATAGATGTGTACAACCTGTTCGAAATGCTTTTCGTGACACGTGGTCAAGTTTTTGACCCATATAGAACAGCTGAGTGACTGGCTTAACATTGGTGTTGAAAATCCGAATCTTGTTCTTTATGCTGGCTGAGGGCTGGAGATTTTCAGAATGATTTCAGAGTGATGAGAGCGTACTTTGTCTTATCGATTCTGGCCATGACATCTTCAACTGGCTTTGACATTTTTTTGAAAACCTTTATTTCCCGATACGAATTTAAAACAAGCAACAAATTTGGTTAATAAAGCAGGATTTAATGAATTCATCAAATTTCGGTAGAACTCGTCAGCTGAATACTCTACATACTCGGATATATATACTTTTGGAATTACATTGAATTAGTCATGCAGACAGACAGGTGCCAATGTTTTTCCAGGTCATGTTCAAATAGATAAGGGGAGATAGAGTATGAGAGATCAAAATTAAGATAAATTGTATTACACTTCAATTACATCACTTAGATAAACAATTTGTCATTAGAGAATTTAACAAGAATTGCAACCAGAGGGATGTCAATAGTAATAGTTATAATAACGATAATAATAATAGTGTTGAAGTGAGTTAAGATAATGCTACTGATAAAGGATAGTTTTAAATGAATCAAGAATAATAATAATAAGAGGTAGAATTATAAGTAAAACGTATTACCATGGTAGATTCAGAGTCACGACCATCCCTTTTTTGTACACAGAGACCTGGTTTATAAACTCGAATTGCACAAGCCTCTTCCGCAATTGCAAGCACCCTCCTGTTTCTTTGTTTGCTGACAATAGTGAATGACTTGACAGCGACCTGGAAAACATTCGCACCTGTCTTTCTGTAAGACTAATTCAATTTAGTTTGTTTGTGCTTATCAGTCTTATATCCCTCAATGTAATTTCAAAAGTGTATATATCCGTGTATGTAGAGTAGTATTCAGTTGACGAGTTCTACCGAAATTTGATGGATTCATTAAATCCTGCTTTATTAACCTGTATCGCTTGTTTTTACATCCTATGTCAAGGAGTATACGAGGAACATTTTATGCAGCACACCTATGTTTGTCATTCTCTAGCCGACGAATGATTGGGACGCAAACGAAGGATAAGCTTGACAGTTTTGCCACATCTATGTGTATTTATCGCTTCAACTGCACCTGCGGTGACAGTTATGTTGGACGTACTACTAGACAGTTTAGCCAACGTGTTAGTGAATATCTCCCATCGTGGTTTGGCAAAGGACAGACAAAAACAGTTCTAAGCTCAATTTTGTCACACTTAATTGGTAGTGGTCATGTAGTGGAGAAAACGAGAGCCTTCAAAGTGATTCATCGTATCCCACCGAATCTTTCCAATAGACTTCGTATTCGTCTACTACACACAACTGAGGTGATAGGCATTCGAACTATTAAACCTAAACTATGCATTCAAAAAAGTTCGTACAGCCATTATCCCTCCCTTGGCCTATTGAGACGTATTAGAACAAGACATATAAGCGAACAATATTGTTGTTTTCAATTAGATCTTCTTCAGGCTTTACTCTAATTTACATAGATTTATATATAAAATTTTAACCAATGACGGTGATTTGCGGAATCAAATAATAGTCTTAATAATAATAATAATAATAATAATAATAATAATAATAATGTGGTAAATGTTTTGAGCATAGTTAATAACGATGATTATAATGATAACAAAATATTGATAATAAGGTTTATGCAGGTGATAAGAATAACAAAGATAGTATATGTATATAAGTGTATAAATAAATTGGGTCAAATCTTAAAAGGTGAAGTGGAACGATAATCAGAGTTTAAATAAATATTATAAAAGTACGAAGGAGATGGAAAATAAGAAAGGGTGGGAGGGTTTTGAATACAGTTCACCTAGGTCAAGGGAGAGACAAAGGTAGAACAAACTTCTTTCGTATGCAAAGACTAGGATTGTTCTCTCGAATTAATTCCCATAGCTTCGGTTATGTGTAAAAGACGGTTTCTGATTCCATTCGAAAGACTCGATGGAATACAATAGATAACTTTGAAAGCACTATTTTTGTCCACTTGGTGACCACTATCAATCAAATGAGCCAAAATAGAACTTCGTATGGATTTTATTTGACCTTTTCCGAACCATGAAGGAAGATGCTCATTGATGCGTTTGTTGAGCTGTCTAGTTGTTCGCCCTATATAGCTTTCTCCACAGGAGCAACTAAATTTATAGATACACATAGAAGTGGCACAACTAGGTAGCTTGTCTTTCGCTTGAGCAATCATAGTTGGTCGGCTGGAAAATGACAAACAAAGGGTGGTGGTAGTATAAGTCCGTATTATCGCTCTCGATAATCTCAGATGTAAGACTTCACTAGCCACGTCCCCATTAAATTGAAGTTTCATCAACAGTTTTTTTTTTTTAACTGTTGTCAGTTTTTCTTTGTTGTACCTGGTATTCATATGTCTCCTAACAAATCTACTAGGATAACCCATTTGGACCAGCGTATTTTGAATGTATCCTAGCTCATTTTCTAGGGAATCATCTGTACAAATACGTCTTGCTCTATTCGTAAGGCATCTGACCGAATTGATTTTATATCGGATTGGTACAAAACTGAAGAAATGTGTATATTGTCCTACAGATGTAGGTTTTCTATAGACATCTCTCTTGAGTGAACCATCCTCTCTTCTGCTCAATTGGACGTCAAGAAAATGTAATCCACCATCGTGTTCTTCTTCACACGTGAAGATGAGCGATGGATGTGCATCATTAAACTTTTTTAACATTACATTCTTGTCAGTTTTCACATCAAGAATAATGAACGTATCATCAACATAACGAAAATAAGAATCAGTTTCCTCTATTACTTGTCTCAATGGACCATTTTCAATCTTGGCTAGAAAGAAATCTGCCAATTTGGCCCCAATGGAGAACTCATGGCAATACCGTCGATTTGCCTGTAGTAAAGGTTGTTGAATAAGAAATGTACATTCATAGTACATCTTAAAAGCAGCTCTTTCAGACTAATAACTGGAATTCCGATGTCAATCTGCTTTTCTACTATCTGTTGGCATATGAAATCCACTGTCTCCATAAGTGGTACATTGGTAAACAGTGACTCTACATCTAAGGAAAGCATTTGCTTCCCATTTACATTGATATCATTCAGGTTAGCAATAAATTCGAAAACGTCTTTAACAATATGGTTTACTACCAATTTGTGTAGCGGTTGGAGGAGTTCACCTAACCACTTTGCCACTTCATGGTAGGTAGAATTTGACATATCCAGGACTGGGCGAAGAGGAAGTCCTGGTTTATGTATTTTGGGCAGACCGTACAGACGTGAAGTATTACTTCCAGTAGGTTTAAGACGGTTATAAGCTGCCTCTGAGATTACTCCACTTTTACTCAGTTCCTTAAGCGTGTTAGTTAACTGCTTTTCAGCCTTTCCGTCCAAATCTATTGGGTTGATAAGCTTTTGGAACTTCGTTTCATCCGTTAAAAGTGAGTTCATTTTGTCGACATAATCACACTTATTCATCAGTACTACTCCAGATCCTTTATCAGGTCTACTGATTACAATGTTTTCGTCCTTCCTTAACTTTCTTAGGGCTTCTCTATGCTGTTTAGTCAGCAAACTCTTACCAGGATGACTACTGTTTTTATACTGTTGACAACTGTCGACTAGTGCAGTTTTAAACCTAGCGACTTCATCGTCTGACGTTGGGGTCAAATCTTTTGTTTGTAGGACGTAACCAACTAATAACTTCTACACCACCCTTCGTTTATATTTTCAACCCCTTTCTTATCATCCCTTAATCTTATCTTCATTATAAACGTGTTTCATTTCCTTCCCTTACAGTCTAACATTACTTAATCGGTTCATTTGTTTTTACTAGCCTTTATCGACTACTTCCACCTGAACAGTTGTTTGTTTAATCATGCTGTTTTTCATTATTCGTGTTACCACAGATTGCCTCACTTTTTCATCCTCATTATTGATAAGACCATTTTTATTATTACTATTACTATTATTATTATTAATATTATCATTATTATCATTACTACTGTTATGACTAATTGCACAATTTATATTCACCATCGTATTATCCTATAGACAAAACACCATGAATTTTTACTTGTAAACTTATATATATTAGAGTTAAGCCTGATGAGATCTAATTGAAAACAATATTGTTCGCTTAAATGTGTTGTTCTAAATTTTATTATGGGAATATTTAATATATTTCTGTATATTAAGATATGAAATATATATTTATAAACGCATATTCAGGAATTTTAATCTATTTCTATTGCTGCTTTCTTTTCTTCCCTTCATTCTATAGAATCAACCGTCATTTGTTCGGATTTATCATTATGCTGATAATCAGTTGACACCTGTGGCGAGTAAATCATTCTTCCGTGCTGATACAGTCCGACTGTTGTGGAATGACAAAGGAACGGATCTTCTGGTGCTTACATCAACTAAGGTAATATTAGTATAATTTCAAGCAATTAATTCTTATTAATATCTGTCGTCTTTTAAACTTCCTTTTTGTGTGATAACTTTTTTGTGAAAAAAAATAACTCAAGGTGACTAACTGACTGGTTTTAGCGTAGAACTTTGCACCGATATGCACCAGTCCAACTCGCCACACTCTTTCCTTGTAGCACACAAAGACGGGCAATGTTAGCTGAGGTAGGGTCAGGCTGGAAAAGAGCTAACTACAGCCAATACATGGCACCAGTCAATGAAATTTGCAACAGTTAGTTTTAGCCATGTAGGGAGGTGTAGACTGCTGTCTCGTTGGGGTCCTAGGGACGGTAGAATCGAATGGTTGGAAAAAATTGGTGACATGGCTCAAAATCGTTCTCAATGGCTGGTGCAGATGCATCCACTCCTTGTGACTTGTGATTTCCAATGAAACTGTTTTGTTCTTCGTTATTACTATTTTTTGTCTCACACCTCTGTTTACTGTCTCGAATATGGATTTCTTCTACTTTCTTCTCTTGCTTGTGTGCTACATGGAAGGGGTGTCGCAACTTGAACTGGCGCACATCGATGCAAAGTCGAAAACAGACAGACAAACAGAACTTCTACTAAAGATACGTGGATGACACGTTCAAATTATATGTGACGAGAACTGTGATTTGAATGAAATTCTGAAAGTATTCAATGACAGTCATTTTATATTCATTCATTAATTAGTCATGAAACAACATCGTATTGATTAATAAATTCGATCATCTTTGTAGATATAGATATTAATTTTGGCATATTGATTTGTGAAATGATTCATCATGGTTCGTTAATCGAGGTATGCTTGAAGCCAAGTTTCTGTTGCATTTTACATATGACTAAAATCAATAGAAATTCTCTTATTATCACTAATACCGTCACTTTTTGTTTATAAATAAACTTGATTTGAAGATTTATGATGATCCGATGTCTGTGTGTGTGTGTGTGTGTACAATTGAACCTGAACATATCTGTACATCTTTCGATGCTTTCGGATTGTGGAGCTGAAATACACTATAAGTTTTGAAACTAAGGCTTACAACTCCCCTAGGTTGATGACCTGCGTGTCCACCAGCGAGGAAATCAATAGACGAGGCTGTGAAGTTACGTCGACTAAGACGGTTAGGATATATGTTACGTATGCGTCGGTGGTATAGCGGTTAGGACGATCGCCGACCATGTACATGGTTCGGGGTTCCATCCCCGGCCGACGCACTCCTTTACCTCGCTAAGCCAGAAATAATGCTGGTGAAGAGGAAAGGTTGGGCACACCGTGCACAAGTTCTACATTGAAACCAGTCAGTTAGCCCACCAGCGCGGTTGTGTAGACCCCTAGATGTGTTCTCATTCATCCTCTCAGTTTTTCATGTTACTATTCATTTTCCCGACCTCCATTTCTTCCTGTATATTTGTCGCACAATCGGTTCCTGCTCGGTTGGTTCGTTCCCAGAGATCCCTCCCTATTGCTGATCTTTTCTGGCTATCTGATCTAGAGTAGTATTGAGCGAAGGTGTATAGTTTGTTCGAAATGCCCTTCGTGACGCGGCGCGACGCGACGCCAAGTCTCTGATCCGTATAGTAGCACTAACGTCACATTGGAGTTGAAAATCCGGATAGTATTTTTCATGCTGTGTTGTTGACCTCTACACAAACTTGAGAGAAATGAAAGCTTGCCTTTCTTCCCGATTCTATCTTCTTTACTAAACTATCATTCAGTAGGGGATCAAATCATACAATGAAATGCCCTATAAGGCTTTTGTCAGCTATCCAACTCACTCTCTTTTCTCTAGCTCTCAAACATTTCTTATTCCTGTGCCAACTTCAATTAAAGGATCAAAATTCTACGGACTTTACTTCACACTGTATTTACAAGTTCACCTACAATTACGGGGACGCACATACATTGAAAAAAAATAGAACCAATAGAATGTTCACAGGCTGTCGGAATGACCGAAGTTAGTTTATGGGGTGACAAAATTAATACTAGTATTTATGTGATAAACATGCCTTGGGCTGAATTCAATTATAAAATATTCAGAACAAAATATTTAGAGTGAACAATTGTCGCTTTCAATAAATTCTTCCTTCTTCAGGCTCTACAATTATAAATCCATTAATTTAAGCATACAATACCCAGCCAGCCAGTAAAGGCAAATTAGAATCATATCAGAAAGTGTATTGTGGAACAAGTATAAGATGGGATGAAACAATAGTCAGTCAGTTTTATTTAATATGCAGGGTCAATGGGAACATGGGACAAAATGAGATGAAGTAATTTCATTTAATGATGTGTGTATATATATATAAATATAGTCAACAGAAAATACAGGTTTCGAGAGTGTGTGTAATCAAGGTGTGTGAGAGACAATATGAAAATAGACCAACGAATGGGGCGGACTAGACATAAGTTCAAGGTTGAAAATAACGACAGTAAGAATGATTGTAAGATAATAATAACGATGATATGGTGTAAAATTACAAGCACTATTGGTGAATGATTGTCAAGACTGCAGGTTAAAAAAAGGTGTTTGATGGGTGGCTAGTACAAAGTAGTATGTATTAAAGAAGAGCTGGTAAGACTTCTTGAAATAACCAATATGTGAAACGAAACAGTTGTAGGCAAAAATGCTTTAAAATTATATTTCTTAAATTCCAGTGAAATTGAAATGAGTAATTCCAGTGTTTCGTTAGGCAAACTGGCCCAAACTTCTTCAGGGAAATTAATTGAAATTAAAATGACACACACAGACCACGGATTGATATCAGTTAGAGAAGCAGGAAGTACTGGACAGCCAGCTGTTTCATCCTAGTTTGGGACTCATCAGTAGTACGCATCTACTGGAGTTCGAACCTAGGACCTTCGGGTTACAAGGCAAGCTAGCTCGTATACCATTCAGCTACTGGGACCCGATTCACTGGCCAACTCATGAATACTAACTTGTACCAATTCGTGATTTTCGCGCGACCACTAAGTGATATCGTCGGTGAGCATTTGTCCTCACTACGACTAAATGCAGCACACTGGTCATGACTTCTTAGCACAAAGAGGTCCACTATTGAGCATACCTTGTTTTTAAAAAAAACTTTGTCCAACCATATGAGTCATGAAACAGGCATCAAGATATAATAAACAAAAGTGCATGAAAGTGTTATGATCAAAATTTGACCTCAGAATTATAAATGTTAGCCTACTCTTTGTTAAACACCCTAAAGAACCTTATTCTTGTCAAAGTCGATAAGTTCAACGGAAAGGTTTTTGGTTCGTATAAAGAAAGGCTGAATGCAGAAGGCCTACATATTATATGGGTGAATCGCAGAAGTTTGAACAGACGTGAAGGTGTGTTCTTGTTAGCTGATGCATGGCAAATCCTGATTAATAAATAAAAAATGGATATGTATCACTAATCCATCATACTTCATCTAAATTCTCGTTTGTCTGTCTCGTCTTATGGAGGGGCTAACATATGTTTTAATGAGTGTTTTTAACCATACACACACACACACACCATTGTATTCTGCATATATTGATTTATCAATGACCATGAACTTTAGGCGGAAGTAATCAATAAAAGTACACAGTGTTCACAGACTTACATAGCTGTAAGTCTGAGGTCAAATGCTGGTCACATTTCATGCACTTTTGTATATTAAATTTTGATGCCTGTTTCATGACTCTTATTGATTGGACACAGGTTTTAATATAACAAGAGATGTCGTGTTCTTATGCATAAACATCTGTTATGCTAATTTCGATTAATTTCCCTGACCAAGTTTGAACCAGTTTGCCGAACTCAGGAAACGTTGAAATTAATCATTTCAATTTTACTGAGATTTTACAAGTATTCTCTCTATCAGGAGTTAGCAAATGGTCTTTGTCTAATGGTCGGTCTTAAACTTAATCCTTCCAAATGTCAGACTGTTAATTTCAGTGTCCGATGCGAGTAAAAGAAAGTTAAATGACGAAGCTGTTGGTTCCTATGACCGTTGCAAAATTGATGATACTGATATAGAAATCAGGTTTGATGTTAAGTATCTTGGATTTATTCTTTGCACTGACCTATCCTGGTCTTCCCGTGTCTTGGTGATTTTTAAAAGAATATCTCGTCTGACTTTTTACATTAAGAAGTTAAGCCACTCACTCCTCTTACACTTTGTCAACTCGTGCATCTTACTTATTCTTCTCTCCTGTTCAGCCTTATTCTTTCCTAGAATGCTTGAAAAAGGACTATGTCATACTTCGTAGAACTCTGAAGACTGTCACTAAGGCAAGTTGTATCCCATTAGGCAGTATAGTTGACGTTGTCACTGATGGGCACTTGATGTCATGCAACAAATTTGCTAAAGAAATTTTGTCAGACTGAGCATCCACTTTACATACCTGCAGCTCCAACCTTGTGTCTCCTCAAGTAAAACAAGAAGTCTTTCCAGAAAACTTTATACACGTACGTCTAAGTATAGAAATTCCACTATACCATATTTGGCACGTATTTTATGCGATGAAAATAGTGTGAGGCATGAACTAACTAATCTTCTTTGCACTAGTAAATAAACCATTTCCTCCATCCTTACAACATTAACCTTTATTGCTATTGTACTTCTTACATTTATAATCCTCTGAATTTTTCTGGTTTCTATTTGTTTATTTTTTCATAAGTGTGAACATCATTTAAGCAGTGTTATAACTGTTAATTTTGTATTTTCCCTCACCATACTATATCAACAGAACATTAGATTCAATACTCCATAATAACATGCTAAAATTTTCAAACTGAATCGACAATACTGTTTGAAACAAACTCACTGTTATTATTATTATTATGTTTATTATTATAACTTTTACATTTCTCTACTTTATACTCGGCGCCCAATTATTTTAGAACTGTGTCGGTCAAATCTTGATCACAGTTCATATGAGGTGGAGGTATATATTGCGTCGGTGGCACAGCGGTTAGGACTCTCGCCAACCATGCACATGGTCCGGGGTTC